AGTGTTTGCTCTTAACAAGTTCCATAAATCAAAGATTTTTATGTATTTGGATAGAGATGGTTAAGTTTAAATAAATGCAAATTGTTTTTGAATTTCAATTGGTAGAGCTGTCAGTGAGCATTTCACAGCCTGGAAGTGTGTGCTGTATGAGAAGCCAGTAAAAGACAAATAGGCATCAACATATTTGCAAGGAAGGATGTTTGTTGAGGTCAAGGTTTGATTTGATATGACCAGGGTTTTTAACAGTGTTGCTTGAAAGGATTGTAGAGGGTAGCAATTAGCAAAATGAGCAATCTTCCGATTAGAAATATCTTGAGGACTGGATGCAATTGCAGGCTCTTGCAACTGAGGGTGGAATTGGTTGCATTTGTGTTCATTGTAGCGATCACAAGATTGCAGATTTATGTAAAACCCTCTTAAAGCATCTCATTCACGCTATTGATTTCGAGTGTTTAGATAAACATTCTATGTTGCTATGAGCAACACCTTTTTGTGTACTAGAAAACTGGCTTTAGGCTTGTCACAATCCAACAGGTTGTAAAGTGAAATATAGTTTGTACCTCCCTTCTGCTACATACTGTAGCAGACAATATGCATTAATATAATGAAGTTTCATCATTGTCTGGCCAAACTTCACAACAGAGTTCTCTCTATGTCAGGGGATGCAGGCGGCTCCTTCATGTGTTTCTTGACCTCGTTTTCGACCGTAGTGTATTGTTTAGGTCAGGCACCATCTTATCTTAAAGAGCTCATAGTACCTTACTACCCCACCAGAGCACTGCGCTCCCAGAATGCAGGGTTACTTGTGGTTCCTAGAGTCTCCAAAAGTAGACTAGGAGCCAGAGCGTTCAGCTATCAAGCTCCTCTCCTGTGGAACCAGGTTCCAGTTTGGGTTCAGGAGGCAGACACCATCTCCACATTTAAAAGTAGGCTTAAGACTTTCCTCTTTGATAAAGCTTATAGTTAGGGCTGGCTCAGGTAGTCCTGAACCATCCCTTAGTTATGCTGCTATAGGCCTAGACTGCCGGGGGATTTCCCATGATGCACTGAGCTCCTCTCTCCTCTACTTTCTCTCCCTCTGTATGCAACCTTATCCCATTATTGCATGTTACTAACACAACTTCTCCCCTTTCTGGTAGTCTTGTGCTTTCTCGTCCCTCTCCTCTCTCCTCCTATCACTTCCTGCAGGTTTTCTGGCTCTGGAGCTGTGGAGTCTGGATCTGTGGCTGCGGGTCGCCTGCTGCCCCTGTGTTCCTGCTCGACACCCTCTACTGCAGCGACTGTTGTCGCTGGTCTTATTGTTATTATAATCATTAACATTACGATGGTTACCATTAACACTATTATAAATATCTGTACCATTTTTCATTTAGTTTATAGCAACATTACCTTCGCTGTCTGTACCTCTGTGTGTATATTGTGTAGGCTGCCTCCCTCCCCTCTCTCTCTCCTTACATCCCTCTCTCTCTCTCTCTCTCTCTTTCTCTCTCTCTCTCTCTTTCACTCTCTTCTCTCTCTCTTTCTCTCTCTCTCTCTCTCACCCCAACCGGTCGAGGCAGATGGCCGCCCACCCTGAGCCATGGTTCTGCTCGAGGTTTCTGCCTCTTAAAAGGAAGTTTTTCCTTGCCTCTGTCGCCTAGTGCTTGCTCTTGGTGGGAACTGTTGGGCTTCTGTAAATATCATCACAGAGTACGGTCTAGACCTGCTCTTTTATGAAAAGCGCTGTGAGATAACTGTTGTTGTGATTTGGCGCTATATAAATAAAATTGAAATTGAATTGAATTTAGCAACAGCGATCATTATACATTTTTTTTGTTGGGTAAAAATACTTTGTACTTTGAATTTTGAAATTGATTAGAATCATTTCTTTCAGTATTTTCATTTGGAATTTTAAAATGTTTGTATGTATGGTAACTGTTTGGATGCACAGTCCAAAACAAACGAGCAGGAAGAACTCAGATTCTAATTCTATTATTATGTAGGCCTATAAAAACACTGCAATAGTCAATCTTTTCTTCTCAAATATATACTGCATTTAAATTCAGGTTTACGTGTTTCAAATGTAACTACAACATCCACAACAGCACGGAGTGGACGGCATCAAAGGAGCCACAAGCCCTTCACAGATGCAGAAGTGCTCAGGAGAAAGTCCTTTGTGGTGAAGGCGCAATGCAAGCAAAACGCACAACCAATGTGCTGAATGGTTCCGCAATATGTGTGTTTGAGTCAGGTGTAGCAGAAATAATTACAAAATCAATGCATTCTAGAAGCTGGTAAATTTTACCCATTGGTGGTTTTAGGAATCCAGCAGTTCAACTGTTAAATGTGATAAATGGCAAATTCTTACTAAAAAATATAATTTACACTGCTTGCCTATTTGCATGGAAACCTTTTGTCTTTTAATATCTTCCATATGTTTTTGGCCACTTGTTGGCAACACAACTGAAAAACACAACAGGCTATGATAACCTTTTCCTTTTTACACAGTAAGCAATAAAAGAGCAACATTAACACCGATTTGGTGTCGTGTTTCTGGTCACATGTTAAGTCCCTTTCTTTTAGCTCTGCTTTTGGCCTTTTCCAATTAACCCCTGAGGGAAATATCTCTTTAGCTTCTAAATTAGCCACTGTGTTAACTAGCTACTTGTTAACTGTGTCACGGCCTGCTATCAGCACAGACAGAAACTTTTCTGGAAACGTAAATTCCTTTCAAACAGGGATGTTGTCCGCCCTTAGAAGCATCTCAGGAATTCTCTATACTAATATGTTTAGCTACATATATCAATATATTGGTTGCTATATAGTCACATTTGGACTTCTACTTAATTAATATTTGGCTTGCTGTAAATTTGTGCCTTGACGTTCTTCACATTCCAGATTAGAACCGTTTTCTCCTCTGTGAAATAGACTCTCCCCCAGGGTCATTAAAAGCTTTTCAAAAGACAAACAACCAGACAGCTGCTTTACAAACACAAACATCACCCAAGTGCTATACAAGTTATACTAAAGGCGATGGCCGTGCTGTTCACACTACACAACTTGCCGTCACAACAGCAGTCTTAAAGTCGTTGTGGCGTTCACACTACGTGACTGATCGGTGACAGGGGGTCACACACTACACGAGCTGACAGTGGCTGTGTCACGCGACGCTGGTCTCCAAACCACATTTTATCAAGAAAACACGTGAAATGTGAAACGGGAAATGAGCGATCCTGCACACGAAACAGCTGTTGTTTGTTATTATAAAGATGGCAACTATAAAGACAAAAAATATGGGTGAAAGGATGGATTAGCACACGCAAGTAGCAGGGATTGTCTGAGCCACAGAGAGAGCTGGAGGTCAGTAAAAAGGTGCAGCTCCCAGACAGCCAGTTTACTCATGACTGTGAGGTTACAACTCACAGCCCAACCAGGAGAACAACAAACGCACGTGTGCACATTTTCAGCTGAGGACTGCAGCTTACTTTGGCTTCAACTCAACAATCAATCATGATTTCAGCTAAATGATAAAGTTACTGTTACCTAGTCTGTGGTCCGCTGGCAGAACACCGGCTGCTATCTAATCAGGTGCTGTCCTGCTGTTGCTGTGGTGACATAAGTTTCGTTTTACGGTGGAAGGACGGTAACATTACAGAGTTGTTGATTTCTTTAGCTTGAAATAATCCCGTACTTTGGACACGTTCTTCTTTCTCTGTCTTCCTCCACTTTGCAAACAGCGCCATCATAATCACCTCGTGTTCACAGTGTCTGTCTCTGTCTATTAGACGGGAATTTAGCTTCTGAGTTCTTTTCAGACAGACTGCGCTGTCAGGAGCACAGAGCGCACTGAGATACCGCAGGTGTGTGTCTGATGTGATCAACAATAATGTTTACCTTACTACCTAAAGTCTTTGTTTACAATAATATAATTCTATTAAACTCTCTAAATCTTATTTTGTCTGTGAACAAGCTGCATTAAACAGTGCTTTCTAACTTCCACCTCACAAACACCTATACTTCTGTATTAGAAAAACTCTTTCCCCGTCTTTTTGGACACGTCAGACCCTGTTTTCTTTATTTCAGCCATTATGAATCTCTGAGCCGGTTGCATTGACTGTATTCTAACACTAAACCACTCTGTCGTTTTGCGTTTGTTGGTGATCAAAGAGTTCAAACCATCAAATGAAATATTTCGCTCAATTTCACATTGATTGGGATGTATGAAGGAAAGGTGTGCAGGACCTGGCGTACGCTGGTTTTATACATGTGGATATTTCTGTGTGTATATACTTTTGAAATTCTGAGTACGCCATCTTTCAATATGAAAGCTGCACAGTCTTTTATACATGAGGCCCCAGGTGATGTTCTTCCTACTAATAAAACACTAGAACTTAATAAGGAAAAACTATTCGGGGTGATGAGTCTAAACTTCTGAATTTAAACATTCTTATTTAGATCATGTTGTTGTAAAACACCAAACAGAATAAAACCCCATAAAAGAAGAGGTGAATCTCACTCATTTGTCCCTCCTGGCTCCCTAACAGCAAAAACAGGGATTTATTCACCTTAAACTGTGCGTACCTATAGTGGATCAGAACAGATGGGATTTATTTGCAGATGCTCCAGTTCAAAATGAGACCAAATGTCTGTATGGATGTCTTCTATTGACGTGTTATTTTTTTGTTTTTCGAAATCACCTACTGAAGTCTTTGATAGAAAGTATACTGTATATGTGAGCTTATGTATTACATGCGTGATATTGAGGTTCATATGTGACCGGAAGCTCTATTTATTTCTGGCCACATATCAGCGTCATCAGACCACTCACTGTTCTGTACATTGTATATACATTGTCATTTCTGATGACCTTTACTGTTTTCTTCTAGGCCTGTGTTTGGTAGCCCTCCCCTTTCAGAGGAGCCACCTGATGATCTTGTTTGGCCTTTCTGTGGTGGTGAAAGTGATGTGATGTGATAGCGTTCATCTATAGCTGAATGAGGCCTTGCTGTGCTGTGTTTCAGGGTGACTCTATGCGGACCAACATCCAGCTGGATTTTGGTGACGGCACAGCCGTGTCTTACTCCAACCTGAGCTGGACTGAGGAGGGGATCAAACATGTCTATAAGTCTGCTGGAATATTTCGTGTCACAGCGCTGGCAGAGAACACGCTGGGTTATGACACCACGACACTCTTCCTGCATGTCACATGTGAGTACTGCTACTTTCAAGGTAAAACCCCAATAACAAGGTCATTTTCATATATGTTTTTATTGAAATGGAAATGTTTGTCCACCTCACTTTTACTGTTTGAGGTTTATTTTGTTATTAAAGTTTCTCTGAGAAGTGTCCTCTTACTGTCCTGCCACAATGGTCTGGGAAAACAAATAATTATGTTTTGTCACTTTTTCTGAAAGCGTTGGTATTGGACGCCCTGAGATGAGAACAGTTTGGCTATGTATAGAGTTAAGGTTAGTTGTTAGATATCTATATTCTTTATTCTGCCAAAGACACAGTATTTATGGTCATGTTGGAGGCAGCTGTTTGTGGTGCTGTTGAACTGTACTGAGACTACAAAGAGGAGGTTTCTGTTATTTAGCCTACCCTTATTGATATGACATGGCACTGAAGGCTCTATATCGAACACCAGCGTGTAACCTGTTTGAGTCCTAATGTCCTGTGTAGAGTACATCCTGGGCTTTCTAGTGATGTCAAACAGATGGGGTCTGGCCAACATAGCAAATGTTCTGTCTTTTCAAAATGACGGGAATCACACCAACCGGCATCTATGGCCATAAGGGAGGGAAATGATCACCTTTGTATTGTTAGGGCCCGAGCACGAAACATGTGAGGTCCTTTTGAAACTGAAGGAATTATTTTTCTGCCGCCCTGAACACATGTACACGCCAACATTCACCCATAGTCATAGTGACAGCTACTGGCAACAGGAAGTGACTACTTCTGTGCTGTGATGAAGCACTTCTTGCAGGTTGGCTATATCTACTTCAGCTATTTCAGAAAACCCTTAAAACACTGATGATGTCATGTTGTAAAGTGTGTGAGTTTTCCTTCAACGGCATATCCCTGGCGTTGCTGCTAAGTTCCATGTTTCGCCATGAAACTGGAAGTTGTCATCACTTCACTGGACATGCTCAGATCGGTACCAAAATGTATGTTCTTCATAACAGTCCCAACAACATAAAGGTTGTAATGTTTTTTAAGTAAAAAAAAAAAAGGTTTCTTAAAATTAAATATGAATGTTCCATGATGAATGTGTTTTAAATTAGTTTTATATTGTTATATATAATAGTATAGCAAATTTATGGTTAACAATGCAATTTTTTTTTTGTCAAATTAGACCTGCTGTCCCCTACAAAGAACATGTGAAAAAACATAAATGAAATATATTTTTCAGAAAACACTTCTTTGTGACATATTTCTTACATCTAAATTACTGGAATTATGTAAACAAAATCAAAATTTAAAACATTTTTCATATTAATATTATAAAATCCATAAAGCTGGGATCTATTGCTGGACTTTTGTATAAGATTACATTAGTTTTAGCTAGGTGTATTTAATAGACTGGCAATAGACTGAGTAAAAATACTTTTTTTTTTCTTTTCACCATTGGTTATTCTACTGTTTCACCCATAGGGGTTTAAAATGCAGTTTAAAATATTACTTGAGCAACCACAACATTTACGTTCCCACAAATAGTTTATAAGTCAAGGCAAACAGTGAACCAAAAGCAGAATCTGATTTTTTTATTTTTTTTATTTGTATATTTTATGTTGCCTTGCTCCAGGTGCTAAAATATGTTCAACTGAATGACAGCCACACTGTTGATCCATTCTAAACTCATCTAAAATGAACTGCACTGACCTATACACGGGGTTATGTAATATAGCAGCTGGGATAAACTCCAAAAACTTTTGGGAGAAAGGTCATAAAAAACTTGCTTATGCAAGGTTTCACTGTGGGCAGAAACAGACAGAGAAGTGGGCCTTTAAGGCCACTGCAGCTAATTGCCAGTTATCTGAGGATACAACACCAGGCCAATGGCTTATTATAAAGTGGAACAGATTTCATACAGCAGCACACACAACAAATTACAGAATCATCTTGTTTTTCAGCTCTATTCAGACAGCAATAAAAAAGCATATCTTAAGTTTTTAAGAGAATTATGCAAGCTTCTCAGTAAGTGTTGAATTGTCTTTTTCTCTTGTCAGTTACTCATTCATCGATTTTTTCAATTCATTTTAATTTAACCTCTTGCTGTCCTGATGTGTCAGACAGTGTGTTTTGTGTTTCTACATTTCTGATGGCAATAATTTTAGCTGGATTTATTTCACAGTGCAGGTGATGCTTTGGGAAATGCCAAAACCTACTACAATGATTTCTCAGCTAAGCATATTTAACACCAGTGATTCTCTCTCGTCTCAATTACACACACACACACACACACACACTCTGAGCATCTCAAAGTGCGGATAAAGATTAGTTCTGGTTAAAGAGGATGAGAGCTAACAGAAGCCTCGGTGAGACGAACACCCCATACCGCAGCACTACACATTCGGGAGTTTTTCTATGAAAGTAGTGTATTACATCTGTCCACAGCGGGAAACTTCATCCCTGAGATTAGTGTAAAGCAACCTAGACCCATGTCACATCCTATCAGGTCCTATTAGATTCTTAGCGGGGAGGTTAGAGGCATTACCCACAAGGTAATGTCAAAAATACATGATGGTGTTTTTGCCCCCATTCATCATGAGCTGAACTCAAACATGTAAGACTTTATCTATGTACACAAAAGGCCTATTTCTCTCAAATGTTGTTCACCAGTCTGTCAAAATCTGTGTCAGTGAGCACTTCTCCTTAGCCGAGATAATCCATCCACCTCCCAGGTGTGGCGTATCAAGATGCTGATCAGACAGCATGGGTGTTGCACAGGTGTGCCTTAGGCTGGCCACAATAAAAGGCCACTAACAATGTTAGAAAATCATTTGATAATCTATTTTTCATTTTAAATTTCTTAAGTCAACTTTTAGAATGAATTTGCTTGGCGGGCCTATAAATCAATTGTGTCAGTGATCATGATGTCTCCCAAAATTGTGGTTAATTACTGCTAAATTGGCACAGCAAACAAGTTTTGAAAGAGATGTGATGTTACCTGGATTACCATTTTCTCAACATAATGAGGACATAACTGCAAAGGCTCAAAACAGTCTCTGACAACTTATTTTGTTTGTTGAAATGGCAGTTAAGTCTGATTATCAGGCTAGCACTGTTTACGTTTTCATAACTCACCATTCTGAAACTCTTGCTCCAGTCTATGTTACCAAGCTGGTCGGCAACGTGTACAGCTGAACCAAAGCTGTTTACCGGCTTCTCACTGACCCGCGTTTGTCTGCTTCTGATTGGCTAGTAGTCCTTAACTAGGAATGTACGCATGTGCATCTCCCAACAAAGATCATTTAGAGACAAGATGTATCACTCCATAGCTAAAACGAAGCCTTCAACACAGGGTGAAAAGAGGAGCTGCAGCAATGTGCGGTATGGATTAAAAAAGGTATTTTTTAAATCATGTAAACCTATTCTGGTACAACCCCTAAATAAGATTTTGAACCTGAAAATGAGCATAATATCACCTCTTTAAACTTAGACAAAACCACATGCAGGATGAGAACACAGGTAAAAAAAAATAAAAGTCCCTTTTATGCCCACCAGTCCTCCAGACCACCTACCAACAACTTCTCAGCATGACGTACACTATCTGCATTGGAAAAAATGTTGCCAGTGAAAATGATTTAGACAAAAATTGTTTCCTCCCAAACATATTTGGTACACTGCATTTTTGAGTTGTATATAAAGGTAATTTTTTAGGAGAAATGGTTGGCATTTGACAAAGAACATGTGATCAGAGTTCTATTCAGTTAGCTAGTTTCAAATTAGACACATTTGGTGAAGCTGCATCGGTTATACAGTAAATGGCCATATATTTAGGCATTTGGAAAGAATCCCCATCCATCATTTAATTTTACAGTTTGTTTATATATACAGTGGGTACGGAAAGTATTCAGACCCCTTTAAATTTTTCACTCTTTGTTTCATTGCAGCCATTTTCCAAAAATCAAAAAAGTTCATTTTATTTCTCAGTAATGTACACTCAGCACCCCATCTTGACAGAAAAAAACAGAAATGTAGAAATTTTTGCAAATTTATTAAAAAAGAAAAACTGAAATATCACATGGTTATAAGTATTCAGACCCTTTGCCGTGACACTCATATTTAACTCAGGTGCTGTCTATTTCTTCTGATCATCCTTGAGATGGTTCTACACCTTCATTTGAGTCCAGCTGTGTTTGATTATACTGATTGGACTTGATTAGGAAAGCCACAAACCTGTCTATATAAGACCTTACAGCTCACAGTGCATGTCAGAGCAAATGAGAATCATGAGGTCAAAGGAACTGCCTGAAGAGCTCAGAGACAGAATCGTGGCAAGGCACAGATCTGGCCAAGGTTACAAAAAATTTCTGCTGCACTTAAGGTTCCTAAGAGCACAGTGGCCTCCATAATCCTCAAATGGAAGACGTTTGGGACGACCAGAACCCTTCCTAGAGCTGGCCGTCCGGCCAAACTGAGCTATCGGGGGAGAAGAGCCTTGGTGAGAGAGGTAAAGAAGAACCCAAAGGTCACTGTGGCTGAGCTCCAGAGATGCAGTCGGGAGATGGGAGAAAGTTGTAGTAAGTCAACCATCACTGCAGCAATCCACCAGTCGGGGCTTTATGGCAGAGTGGCCCGACGGAAGCCTCTCCTCAGTGCAAGACACATGAAAGCCCGCATGGAGTTTGCCAAAAAACACATGAAGGACTCCAAGACAGTGATAAATAAGATCCTCTGGTCTGATGAGACCAAGATAGAACTTTTTGGCCTTAATTCTAAGCGGTATGTGTGGAGAAAACCAGGCACTGCTCATCACCTGTCCAATACAGTCTCAACAGTGAAGCATGGTGGTGGCAGCATCATGCTGTGGGGGTGTTTTTCAGCTGCAGGGACAGGACGACTGGTTGCAATCGAGGGAAAGATGAATGCGGCCAAGTACAGGGATATCCTGGACGAAAACCTTTTCCAGAGCGCTCTGGACCTCAGACTGGGCCGAAGGTTTACCTTCCAACAAGACAATGACCCTAAGCACACCGCTAAAATAACGAAGGAGTGGCTTCACAACAACTCCGTGGCTGTTCTTGAATGGCCCAGCCAGAGCCCTGACTTAAACCCAACTGAGCATCTCTGGAGAGACCTGAAAATGGCTGTCCACCAACGTTTACCATCCAACCTGACAGAACTGGAGAGGATCTGCAAGGAGGAATGGCAGAGGATACCCAAATCCAGATGTGAAAAACTTGTTGCATCTTTCCCAAAACGACTCATGGCTGTATTAGATCAAAAGGGTGCTTCTATTAAATACTGAGCAAAGGGTCTGAATACTTATGACCATGTGATATTTCAGTTTTTCTTTTTTAATAAATTTGCAAAAATTTCTACATTTCTGTTTTTTTTCTGTCAAGATGGGGTGCTGAGTGTACATTACTGAAAAAAAATTGATTTTTGGAAAATGGCTGCAATGAAACAAAGAGTGAAAAATTTAAAGGGGTCTGAATACTTTCCGTACCCACTGAAGCCCTAATCAAATATTTTTTATTCCGTTTTCCTGTGATAACGGGATAATTTTCTCCTGATTTCGAGATAACCATAATGGTAATTATAGTGCAGTTTGTTGGATCATTGGTTAGCTCACTTGGTAGAGCACAGGACTTATAGGCTTAAGGTTGTGTGCTCAGTCCTTACTAAAGACAAAATTTTTCTGTTTTATATTTTTCATAATCCTCTTCAACAAAGTTCTTATGAAAAGACTGTTTCACATGCTCACATTACTGTAAAGCACGTGCTGGATTCTGTGCGTTCTGGCGTTTGGTCCACATCCATCAACCTATGGACTTTTCATTTCCCCATCATTCTCAGGCAGAGGAAATTACTTCTCATTCAGGGGAATCCATGTAACGTTACACATTTCCTGACGGCTTTTGGAACCTTTGAAATAGCTGTTGGGAAATGTGTGATTGGATTCCCCTCAATCTCTTCATAACAATTTTGCTGAAGAGGATAATACACACACAAGAAGAAAAAGAAAGTCAACAAGAACAGGAATCAAATTAATCAAACTGAGCCCTGTGCTCTACCAACTGAACTAACCAGTGACACTGGTAATTGCTTTGAAATTATCCTAAAGAAACGCACCTGCCAAATGTATATGTATATATAATATGATTTTTGATAACGTCTTCAACCTTTTTGCATGTAGTGACTAATGCAATGAACTTGTGCCTAGATGTTTTGGGGGGTAAGATTATTCAACAGAGACTGGTATAATTCATTGTGATCAGCAGGACATAAGCAACTGATAATGTAGGAAACAGCAGACAGTTGTACATAATCATTTGCATCAGTGTGTCAAGTCATTTGCAATTTGTTCAAAACAATGAGAAAGTGCTTTTATGATGTGCACAAGTGACGAGATGATGTGAAGGTGGAACAATTAGTTCTGAGAATTTCAATTCTGATCTGAGAAATGCACTAAAGCGACTGAGAAAAACTGTAATGCACAGTTGGCAACAGCCAAAATGTTTGGATCCATCTAACTGTCCATTCTTCTTACCCACTTATTCTGTTTAGGTTATGGGGGTGAATCCTATACCAGAATGCACTAGACAAGATGCTAGGAAACATCCAGGAAAGGTTACCAGTTTATTGTGTGACTAACACACAAGGAAACCCTCACATTCACACCTTTTGGCTATTTATCATTTCAGCTGAGGTGCAGGGACAAAACCTGAGCACACTAAACCGTCGTATAAAAGTAATGGTGCATGGAGTATTTCTCTCCCTGAAACAAGCTTTACACCCCATGTACTGATCTAGCCAATTGGCTTTTTATTTTTTGAATAAAAAGCACACTGTCAAGTTTGCCTCATTAAAAGTAGCCATGCATAATATGAACTCCTCTGTGGTGTTTCTATCTTAGGTCCAGTGGAGCATGTCCAGCTTCTCGCTCCCTTCGTGGTCATAAGGAACAAGGAGGTGAACATCACAGCAGTGGTCTTACCCAGCCACTCACGTACTGTCACTTACTTCTGGTGGCTGGGAAACAATACTGAGGTAATTCTTCCAGGACAAGACTCTTAATACACATTCCAGTATTTGTTTGTATTGCATGTTACTGTATGTTAGCCTTCATCTGTGCCATTTAAATCCATACTATATCAAAGCTAAGCATTATCATCAAGTAACTTGGTAAACATTACCTTGACATGAAGACAATACTTGCTTGAGAAGTGTATCTAACTTTGAGAACATACACACAGTGATGTAAAGACCAGTGTGAGCTGCAATTAAAGTCTATTAACCACGTGGACCCTGGCACCTATTTCCAGTAAAAACGTCTAAAATAACACACCCAAAATAAATCAGTAATATCTCCTCAACCATTAGGCCTAGATGCATAATTCTGGTCTCCTTTGAAAGGTCCACAGCTAAGGAATATAAATCCATTGTACATTAACATATTTATTTTACCATTACAGACTACATGGAGATGAAATACAGAAAAAATATATTTTCATCCTCAATCCTAAAAAAAAGCTATATTTTAATGCAATAAACCATCAAAACCATCATAAGGTAGATTATAATGCAACTGAATATCTTCTAATACACCTGGAATACAACTGTAACTGTAAATTTGATGAAAAGAAACTGATTTACAACAGTTATTATGCAATCTTTCAAAAATATACCTGGCTAATGTCCATGTTTTGGCCATATTTACTGTTTATATGTTCACTTTTATTGGGAGTTATCTTCAAAACATTATTTCTCTCCATATAACCACGTTCCAAATAACATAAAGCTTCCAAAACATTTAAATATTGATTAAAAACAGTCAATATATATGACCAAAAACACTCCCATGCATTACAGGCGACAGCTTGAGCAAGGGGGCTCTTTCTCTTTGTATTGAAGAGACGAATCGATTGATATCCTGCATGTCTGTGTAGCTCCTACGGGACGCCAGCAGAGGCCGATAAACACCGCCGATAAATCTGACGACAGAAACGAAACTTACCGACGAAGCCGACCTCATCAAGATGGCGGCCCGTCCGACAGTCTCTGTTGACAAAAAGGACCGATGTTTTTGGAGGGAAAACAGCTAGAACAGCGAAAATCGATTACGTCCCCTGTATCGGGCAAGTCCGTTACCAAGTTTAAACTGTTCACTGGCACACCATGGTTTATCCAGCAAACAACTATTTTGACTTTATCAGGGAGGTGTCTGTGGTTACTTCCAGTTTGCTTCAATCAATCATCTGACTTATAGATCACAACAAATTTTGTGGTTGTAGTTGTTGCTGTGCATGTGATCATTTTGCTACTATCCACCTTCTATAAGTTCAACACGCAGCAAAACTGTGCAGTTTGTAGCTCAAATAGAGGAAATGGTTAGCAATATTACATAATCAATTTAATAATAATTGTCCGAGACAAAATAGTCTTACTTTTAAATTAAAGTTGCTTTCATACAATTTCTCCTCATTGATCTGTCTGTTCTTGCTGGTAAATTCATGTATAATTATGAGGGAACTCAAGTGCCAGTAAAATCAGCTCTTGTATCATTTCCATCGCTGCAGTTTCTCTGGTTAGCATCGTCGCACAGTGAGTTGAAAAAGTTGAACCAAAAACATCATAAACTCTGAATGCAGCCACAAAGAGCCTGTTCACAAGAGCGGCAGTCGCCCTCCCTCTTTTTCCTGGGGCCAGCGACCTCGGCCACACGTCTGCTGTCATGTTTACATCGAAAGCAACTGAGATGGCGGCAACCGCTTGGTGTCTGAAAGCAGAGAGTCTACAACCACCTGGCAGTTCTGTGCCATGCTGTACTTAGACACAGCAGTGGTTTGAGCTAAATACTTCAATCACATTGCAAAACATTAAACATGCTGACATCTATCAAGTTCACCACCTTTGTGTAGCATGCTAGCATTTGCTGATTAGCACAGTACTGCTGGGGCTGACGGGAATGTCTTTCATTTTGCAGGGATTTGGTCATAATCTAAAGTATTGGAAAATTTTGCAAATTGACCTGATGTAGGCGCTACATGTGTGACTGTATTCAGGGAATTTTTTAAAAAAGAAAGCCTTAGTTAAACTTCCCTGAATAAATGAAGGTTTAAAAAATCTCAAGTTATTACTATTCGTCCTAAGGGAGTCATGAATGTTAATAGCAATCCATGTAACAGATGAGATATTTCAGTCTAGACCAAAGTGGTGAACCAACAGACCGACAGTGCCACCCCTACAGCTATGCTGCTAGCATGGCTAGAAAGTGTTTTAAAATCTCTTTCATCCCTTAATACTAATAGATAAGACAATCTGACATTGACCTTAACACACCCCTACTTTAGGTAAACTTGACATTGCTCTAACAAATTTCAGTTTTTTGATAAGAAAAGTCACATCACTGATAATGAAGCCAGAGTCAACCTCGCACACCACTCTTGGGCAAGATAGCAGAAAATGTCTGTTGACTAAAGCATTGTGTACTACAGAGGGGCTGTGCCACATGCTTGAGAAGTGGGACATTATTTTATGCCTGTACCTTTTGTGCTTGCAGCCAGTGATAACGCTGGACGGGAGTATCTCATACACCTTCCCCAACGAAGGAATGCACACCATCACAGTCCAAGTGGCTGCAGCCAACACCATACTGCAGGATACCAAGACCATAGCAGTCAAAGGTCAGTATATTTGTTTTCTAATTGTGTCCTGGAGCTCATAATAACAGTTAACAAGTCTGTACTTCTGGCATCTTTTTAGTTTAAAAATGCGGTTTTATGGAAAGCAGTGAAATACTTAGAGAATATATCATATAGTCAGCTATGTATTTCTACGGTCTCTGTTGTGGGTAAAATGTTGCTGAAATAAAATTGCTCCTACTTGAGTAAAATATATCAAATTACTGTTAGAACCTCTAAAAATATGTCTTCATTTGAAATGAAGTAATCTCGCAGCAAGTATCTGTAAAATGCTATGATTTATTACCAGTGGATGGGTTGGCGTAAAGCTGTGACATTTTCTAATTATCTAGAAGTGCATCTGGTACACGTAGCCAAAGGGAAGTTCGGGGGACATGAGAAACCCTCTTCTTTTCATCAAGTGTTAACTACCTGAAACTCAGCTTGAGCAAAATGACAGTTGGCACAGCTCCCTGAGAATAATGCCCCCGGATCCAAGTGAATTAATGGCTGATTCTCCCCCGACTCTCCTCAACAGAATTCTTCAAATCTCTACTTTTATCGTTCTCGCCTAATCTGGACGAGTTCAACCCCGACATACCCGAGTGGAGACAGGATGTGGGGAGAATAATTAAAAAGGCTCTGCTGCAAGTGAGTGATTTTCATTTTCTCTGTCCTTCCCTCTCGGTTCTTTCCATACTTCTATCTGTCTTCAGCTCCTTTCCTTTCTGTCTTTTTATCGACTACTTTCTTTGTCACCCTGCTATTTCTCAGTTATTTCCTATACCCCTATTACCTTGCCCAATACGCTGGGCTCATTGGTGTGGTAAACGCCCTCGGGCCACACTGTGATTCATCATCAGACAGGTATGAAGATGCCTCTGCTTTCCTTCTCTCCCAGGATAGTTTCATGAGTGCTGATGCCTTCATTTTAAAAGTCACCAATAAAAGGATCTCAGAACCTCAAGAATGGGGGCTCATTAGGGACCTATGAGTGACGACACCTGTGTCTAAAGTGTGCCTGTGTGTGTGTGTGTGTGTGTGTGTTGGCGTACTTGAATGTAGGAGGGGTGCAAGTGCTCTCAATGTGTGTGGGAAGCTCACCCATCACAGTTAAGTGGTACTCGTCTCCTCATTCACAGCTCATGAATAGTGGACTACATTTGGTGTGCTGTGCTCTTGACCATCTTACTAACATACTGAGCGGTAGAGCTGCAGGTGGGTGCTTTTGGAGGAATATAGGGTAAGGGGGATCTCATGAACAACCCGGATGACCCAGACTCACGCCCATGCTTTTGAGCCAAATGAGTTCCCTTTTCCTGGACTGTGATATCATTAAATCATCAAGTTTATTCTGATGACACTATACAATCAGAAACATATTGCGACCATCAACAACAGAAGTGAGTTTCTGCTAAATTATTAAGACTGAATCAATATTAACAACCCTGTAGACACACCGGTTGTGGGTATGTTTGAACTCACAAACAGGGGTGTAAATTTTACTCTTAAATTAATCACCAGGGCAATTGAGGCATTCTGAAGCTATTAAAGGCTTGTGTAATTCACTAATCACATAGCTTGGCATGAAAACTGGCATGTTCTGACTCTTAGCTCAGTCACGGTCAAAATAGTTTTTTGTGTGGTGGAAATGATGTGCATGTGGCTTAAATTTATATTGAGACTGGCTTTTAATATTTGTGTGACATCATGTTACCACGTTGTTTACTTTATTGCAAAAGCCAGTAATGTGTTTCATGTCACTTCAGCTACTTTGTTGAGTGAATTTGATCAAGACCTGTTAACTTGTCAGTTATTTTCCACTTCACAGCAGGCCAAAATCAAGGGGTGGATCACCAACTAGGTAAAGCGGGCAACTGCCCTTGGGCCTGAAGGATCCAGGTTCACTGTTTGGGAGTTGAGTGGTGCATACTGTAATGCAAAAAAATTGCAATTCATCAAATCACCACAAAGCTCAGTGCAAAATGATAAGGGCCTTAACCCTGTTGTAGAGGGGCCTGAGTTAAAATGATCGTTATTATTCCAGTTCTTATTTTGCATACATGGTGCACACAGAAAGAGGACTGTGGATGTTGTCACCAGCTCACTTACACTGAAATTAATTTGATTATGGATCTCTTTAGGGCCAGAATAAAAAGCAGGAATGACTACAGGAAGCAAAACGTGTATCATATTGTCTCCTTAAAGGAGACCTATTATACTGCTTTTCCAATCCTATATTGTAGTTCTGTGACTCCTGTATGCTTTTTATGATTCAAAGTTAAAAAAAATAAATTTCTATCTTATACTGGCCCTTCATATATTGCTTCATTTCAGCCTCTCTCTGAAACAGGCTGTAGATGGTCCTGTGTCTTTAAGCCCCCCCCCCAAAAGGCCACTGTCTTCTGATTGGCCAAGACCTGAAGCATGTTAACAGGCTGTGGTTGGTACGGACAGACTGAGCGTAGCTGTGCGGAGCAAATGACCATAAATGGAAAACTCTGTCTAGTGCTGTGTGTCGTCAAACAGAACCGTTGGTTGAAAAAGCTGCTGAAAACTCAGAGCACTCAGAACAGGAGGAAATCTGAGGTTTTTGCTCACAGGGATTTCTTTAAAATACTTTCACCTCATTATTTGAAGCTTTGGCCATGATCTCACGACACACTGATATACTCACCTCTACAAGTCAATGCTGATCAGCTAACCTCTTCTGATTCCCAGCACTGGGTTGCACCAACTATGTGTAATTTCAAACTTAGCCTAGTTTGAACGTAATTTCTAACTTAAGTCGGACTTTACGTGCTACTAACGTTTTAAGGGTTGCACCAGCTGAAATACGTCCAACGTAGACATAAGTTACAACTTAAATCTTACACCCAACATTGTAACATTGTAGATAAGTCATAAAACATGGAAAAGCATAATAGGTTTCCTTTAATAGTGTTTTTAGACATATCTATTATTTAAGATAGATTTGAAAGACTGTCATCTTTTAATTAAATACCCAAAACAAATTATTATAATTAGCTACTAATTAATACATACTGTATAATATGAACCGAGGCAAGAAGAAATGAGGGATCATTAGTGGCTCCAGGCCCCAGCAATGGATTAATCTGCCTGCATATTGTGAGTACTGTCAAGTCCCCAAAACACTCTGGTTCAACTACTTTTTCTCCTCCATTACATGATGACTACCACCATTGCTCGACTTTTTCAGCAAGGAGAAACCAAGATCTGAATTTGTAAAAAAAAAAAAATAATTACAGAAAACAAGAGTTCTGATTTAAATCATTTTTGCCCATTTGTGGGTAAAATCAAATGCTGGTTGAAAAGGAGAACCACACTTTACTTAAATGTGTTTCAGTGCCACAATACACAGTAGAAAGCTCTACGCTGATCATAGAACTAGGGTTAGAATACATAACCATCCTTACAGAGTCTCCCTTAAAATGAAGTGAAGTATTAAAATGGAACGTTGGGTGAAAACAGTGACAGGTGCTGTATGTGTTTAAATTATATTACACTTGTGGATTGTGGCTGATATGTCACTTTTGTTTGTTTTTATCATCACATGTCACTGCTACCCATATGAAACGGCTGTAGATCTGTTTATGAGGCTGGAGGGGACACAAAGTTCATTTCCGGACAAACATAAATCAAGTGGTGACAGGAAGGGTTATTTTACTCTATTTTGTTATGGTTGAGAATTCTTGCTTGAGACAGAGGCCAGTCCACAACTCCTCAACAATAAAATAGGAGATGAGATAGGGAACAACTTGCAATTAAAGTCAAGGTCCATTTAACTGAGGTGACGTGCTGTGTGGTCCTGTTGCTGAATCTTTCAAGTCATGACTTTGCACTCTTCACCTAGGCTCATTTCGGTATCACTGCCTCTACCGGTCCTGAATGCACATTCAGTAATGGAGGTCATTTCATTCTATTCAGTCTATCTTCAGTCACCTCCCTCTCACATTCCCTTAACGTGTCTCAGCTCAAACTCATACAGTTTACAATGTTCATACTCCCCCATAGCTTCCCTTGAAGGTTAATGCAAGCTATCAAGCTATCATCTCCTTATTGCTTCCCCAAAGGCACCGAAATACTTTCTCTTTAACTGATGCATGGCAAATCATGCACATTAATGTGATATTTTCATCTTTTTGCTATAATGTTGATAATTAACGTATTATAAAATCACTAGAAGGCATATTGTGTTTTAAGAGAGTCCCCTTTCAATAACTGATTTCAGTTAATATAAGGATTCCTTTTTATAAACACATCACATTAGCGTTGCTTTAAGTGAGTAGAGATCAGAAGTAGTGTTGTACTGTATAGCCTGCACGATGAGAGCAACATCTCATTACAATTAATAAAACATCTTTGTAGCAATGCTTTGCTTAAAGGGGACCTATTATACTGCATTTCCTGCCCTTTATTGTAGTTCTGTGACTCAGCATCGGTCTGAAACAAGCTGTAGATGATTCTGTTTCTTTGTGAGCCTTTTGAATTTGAACACTTTTAGATTTGCAAACAAAGCTTTTGGATGACATTTTTAATCACAAATTTGTGAGTGTGGATGGTGTTGCTGTCAAACCTGTTTTTGGATTGCATCATAAAGACACAAAAATCACTCCATCAAAATAAATGTCATTACCATCAGCTTCATGTGTACTTTGTGTATAGTGCTAATTCGCAAATGCTAGCATGCTAAACTAAGATGACGATAATGGTAAACATTAAACCTGCTAAACATCAGCATGCTAACACTATGGCTGTGAGCCTGAGTAGTGTCAAAATATGTACTGTATCTGTAGAGGCATAACACCTTTTGAGTTTGCATGCATACGGTTTCATTCCAGTGCTGAGTCCCTCTAGAGCTTATCTTCTTCAAGTAGTATTTCTTCAGATAAACTTGCAAAATATTGCACTGTGGAATCTTTGTATCAAACAAAGTTGAGCCAGGCTTCCCGGCAGCAGGTAACCTTGTCCTCGATGAGTGTCTCACTTCATGTCATGCTTGCCATCCCAATGTGATTCTTGTATCCAGCAGGAAAATTTCAAAGCATCTAAAGGGGGCACTCCAAAGCATTCAGCCAGATTTTTAAACTAATGACTGATTGCTATGAGAACAAACATGGTCAAAGTGTTTTTATTTTTCTTCAGAGGCTATTGCCTCTTCTGTCATCCGATTCATTTTATCTTCCCCTCTGCCACCCCTCCTCTCAAGTCTATGCCCACGGCTATCATTTGTCCACTACTTTGGTACTCAAATAGTGATTTCTGTGCTTGATAATTGATGTGCTTTGGCTATACCCACTCCATTATCCACCCAGGCCACTGAGAAAACATAAAAACATCACAGGCTCTAAAATGAAGAGTGATCACCACCCGGGCCCAACCTCCCTTGCTTGTAGAAACTGGTTAAGAGCTAAGAGCTTTAAAAAATTGTTCTAGAAACAAAAACAGTGTTGGACTTCACCTTTTTATCAAAAAATAATAAAATAAAAAATAAATCCTTAGAAATTTAGATGAACTAAATTGCTCTCTCTTTTTTATTTATTTATCAAGATATCAGCCTGAAGGCAGTCTGGACATACAGTACAGTTATTTTGACCATTCCTTGTGTAACTTTCTATTAGAACCATGTA